AAGTTGATGAAACAAGAATATCAACAGTCTCGTTTAAAGTCATCAGTTCTGAAGTTTATGGTCGATACAAAGATCTTGTCAGCAACTATATACAATATATCATCAAGTTGGATGCTGACCGACGCTTTTCTACTAATTGTTAAGTCATTATTTACACACTGAATTATCTAGGGATTTCTCCATTTACCCGATCATGACAATGAGCACACGGTGGGTGTGACCGTTCGACAGGGGTTGCTTATTCCTCCATAGCACCTGATCTTATGTCTAATGCTTTTAGAGATCCGTATTTACTCTGCTTCCAATTTTTATTGTTTCAATGGACTTTTGAGCATGACTACTGTTCGTTATCTCCATATTTAATTGGCGTTCATCAATAAACAGTTTGTTTTAGAATTTTTCACTCATATTAAGATGTCACCACTTGCCGATGGAGGGCTGCAAATTTAGACCTGTACTCGGCACCTACGGCCTTTGAACAGTGAGGGATATTTTTCGTGCCAGCACCTACTGCAACACGGGACCTCGCGATCGATTCTGCAGTAGATTTCGAATAAACAATTGTAATTTAAGTTTTCCTTTAATGATCCTTCTGGTTTCATTAGATACTGTCATTGAAAAATGACAATCTTTTAATACTAGTCCACAAAACTTCTGTAAGCATTCATTTACAATGTTCAAAATTTATCCAGATGAATGGCTAAACTTCTTTTAATTTCATCTTTGTAAACAATGCAAAGAAACAGATACTCAAAATCTGAATTTGATTATTTCAAATTAGTCGTTTAGAAACATTCATTTGAAGGAACTATCATTTAGAAATATCGTATGATTAGTGCAGGATAGTTACAAGCTTGTGTGGCATTTTCCAATTAACTTTTGTACATTTCTGGATAAGATATTTCCCATGGGCTACAATTAACACATTTCATTTCACCTTTCTCTAAACTGAAACCTTTTGTTGAAAGACAAATTATAACAGTACATGTACATGCATATGGAAGCTTGATGTCGACTTTACAAATTGTATTCTCCTTCCAAATGTCGATAAATTTTTGTTTAAAACTTTGTTTTGCATTTGAGTTCAAACCATGTAGGCATGCTTTTGATTACATTACATGGCAATGCTTGCACAATCACTTGACAAAATGATTTAAAAAATCTCCCTATATCTTTCTATGTAATAAAAGGACCCCCTAATTTGGCCCTATCCTGTCCCAGGGACCAAGTTTCCGACATTTATAATTCTATCCATATATTAAGATGCTTTGCTGCTTGACTACTGGTAATTATGACCCTGATCTTCTTTAGGATAAAAAATTCTCATAACTTTTTTCCTATAAATTCCATTATAAAACTTTACCATCGTAGCCCAACCTTAGGAGTCATCATTTCAAAAACATGGCTCTACACTAGTTGGAGATGCTCGAATAATAATTTGACTAGTTAAAAAACCTTGTTATGGAAAATTTTTTAAACATGTTCCTTATATAATGTAATTTAAAATTTTGACCCCCCCCCCCCCTTTTGCAGCCTAACTCTAGCTCAAGGAGCAATTACTATAGTATTGAAAAAATGGAATCTTCAGTACATAACAACGCTTTAACAATAAAATGACTAATTGTAATCCTGCTGTTTTTGAGAAGATGAATTTAAAAATACTTTCTTACATATTTTATTTATGACCCTATATTTTGCTCCCAACCTTGCCACAGAACTCACCATCTAAGCAAACAAAAATCTAGTCGTCTACTGCATATCAATATATCTTTAATTACTCTGTCCCTATTGTTTTTTTCAAAGAGGATTTTAATAGAGTTTTCATACATGTATATATTCCTGTGTAAAACATTGACCCCCAAATTGCAGCCCCAAACTAGACCCGAGGGTCATCATTTGCACAAGCTTTAATCTACACAGAGGCTTTCACACGTGATTTTTGCCTTTTCTGGCCAAGAGTTTTCTGAGAACAAACCTTTTTTGCATTCTTTAATAAATCCCCTCTTGAAAGAAAAAGGCGTGGCGCTAATTCCTTCAACGATACTTTGTGCAATATTTGGTTGGAACTTACCCAGTGTTTCTGGAGAAGATGTAAAAAGATTACAGATGACAAAAAAGTGCAAAATATTTAATTAGTATAAATTTTTGCATTTCTTCGAATGCTTAATGCAATTTTCAGGAAATGGGATTTGACGCTTGTATCTTTTTTATATATATAAACTGACACCTTCTTGGTCATTCTGATGCATTGCGGCAAGTTCTATCCGCGATGTTTCATAAGATCTTTATAAAATGGAAATATCCAATTTATGTGTACAGTTGTCAGCTTAAGTTGATCTGTTTTCAATAACAAATAAAAAATGCTTATTTTTAGGGATTGGTTTGTTTTGATAATAAAAGATTATTAGGGATGATGACAATCATTTTTAGCATCTGTTGACGAAAACCTCGTTATAGCTGAAATTATACAGATATTTCCCACCTTGATCTCTGACCGGTTGTTTAACGGATACACTGACAGATCAAAAATTTTTCTATTTTTTAAAAACATTTTAATTCTATATTGAAATTATGTTGATCTTATCTCTGTAGGTCGTGAATACTATGTAGACAGTATACAGAAGTACATGTAAATAACATGTACAGAGACTGTTTCTCCTATGAGTTTAAAGACCAAAATTATTGCATATCCTTTTCTAAAACGCTTCAACCAGACAGAGAAGTACTAGTATACATCTACAAATTTTACTAAAACAGATTTCTAAATATATTGAACGGTCAATTTTGGGGGGATGTACAGGTTATCTATCTCCGACAAGGTGACTCTTTACACTATATATTTTTAAAATAATGAGTACCTAATTATGGGATTTCATACATATGTGCTTGTAGGATTTATAGTACGTTATCAATTACAATATGTAAAAAAAAAACCTGAGGTTGGGACACAACTTAAAAAAAGATGGATCGATATAACAAAATAATTTACTTAGTACCCAAATGTAGGTCGTATATGACTATAGCAGTAATAACATTCATTGATTCATAATTGTTAAAAGTCGTCATCTAATTATTGTTAGATTAAATAAAGTCTATAGGCCATTTGAACGGTTCCAGTGGTCTGAAGGGGGTTACATATAGGAACTTATCTGTGGTTCCCTGCACAATGGCATAAATTTCCCAGAAAAAGTACATGTAATTTTAACAAATGCAAAATTTTGACGATAAAAACGGACGATAAATTAGCTAATTACCCTTTCATGAAATGTTCATTATCTTATTTCATACATCACGTGTCTTCTTAACCAGTTACTCTTTATTTGGAATTTTTTGAGAATTTCTTTTGAAAATCAATCTATACTTTCCAAAGCCCGCCCAATGTTTTTGGTTCAACACGATAAATTAATCCGAAGATGTATTATTTGATTTGATTTACAAGTCTCACGAAAGTGTACGCGTATCAAAATAAAATGACACACGCTCGCTTCTTATGTTTTAAACTATCTTCACTATGACTTTAATTCCGCAGATACTATTTGTTAAAAAAACAACGTTCGACCCAGTGAAAGCGATTATATTTTGGGGAATCTGTAATATTTTATGGCAAAGAAAAAAAGGACGTTAACCGTAATTATACAAATTCAATATTGAGACTTTTCTGTACTGGTTCTTTGAGATTCAATTCCTTTGTTATAATATCTCAAGAAGGAGCAACGGATGTAGGTGATCAAAGATATTTTTTTCGTATTGGAAATCTAACAAGCATAAATTCTCTTCTAGCTGACCGAAACTCTTATATGAATATCTTTGACAATCTCCTCAATAGGTATCATTATCATACTAAAGCCTTTTATGAATGAGGGTAGTCCGAATATATGTGTGTACAAATAACTGTCATATTCGATTTCTGGTTTCCTAATGGATATGATGGGAGTTGGGGCCAGCGTGAAGCCATATATTCAATGTCTTATACTCTGAATCATTCTTCTCATAAGTTCCTCCCTGCTCGGATACGATGCTAATAAATGTCGGCGTTTGTGCCATTCCTTCCTGTCACAGAGGTCCTTAATTGCATAACTCTTCAATTTGGGTTAGTATATACTGTGTAGCAAAACAGATGAGGCGGATGGCGCAGGAAAACATAAATACGAAAACTATGTGACGAAACAAAACTATATTGCCGTTTTCCTGCACATGTAAACTAAAAACCGTATAATTGTGAACTGGGACTTTTCAAGCATGCGTTAAATTCAATCACGTTTATCATTTATTGACATGCAGCGTTGTGGGGAGGCGGACTTGTTAATTGTGATGATAGGCTGTTAGTGTGGCATTTTTAAAGAACCCCATAAGTGTCAGTCATGGTTTTGGATTTTGCTAAAACGAAAAACTCTCCTCTTCCCTTTGGACCTACCAAAACGTCTTGGTAGATCGAACAGATCTCAATCTGCATAATCAATTATCCAGAAGACTATTTATTAATCAAACTTTGGGGATTCCTGACACTTAGCAGTACGTTCGCTCCTTGGACTGGAATTACTATGAAAAATTCATATACGGCAGTCAAGTACTAATTGAGATCTGTGCTTTTTATATCGATATGGGACATTTTACTGTGGCATACAAGTATCATGCTCCACTTCACATGCGAACACTTTAGATATTTTTTGTGTCTGAAAAATTGATCTTGTTCATGTGTTCAGTTTTTGACAATATGTGGATTTATTTAATTATCGAAACATTTTACCTGTAAAAAGAGGAATTCTTATCTGCCTCACCGACTCCATATGTACAATGCTTGACAATGTGCAATATTACGCAAAGAGTGAACCATACATATCAATGATTCGCTAATACACATTTTTTCCGCAAGAGAATACCTTGGCAAAATGTCGACCAAAACTAATAACCAAAGTTCTTATCGTGAGTTGACCAAGAAAGTGATGTTACAGAACCATTTTCTGTGGTATTTCATCAAAATGTCCACAAATCCTTTGCAGGTGAAGGTACAAATTTGTGTGCAGTTCTTCAAAGTTGGAGAGATCGACACACTTAAAGAACAATTTACTGCAGATGTGATAGTGAAAGCTAAATGGAGGGAACCTAACTTAGATGGGCAAAATAAAACGGTAAGATTAATTACTTAAATTTCTATTTTGATGAACAAAGGGAAACAATAAAACACCGTTCCTTAACCATTTATTGCATTTCTCTACAATACTATTTTCTCGTGCTTAGTTGTATTATTTATGGTTCAAATACAAGGGAGGTAATTTAGTTATCCCACAGTTTATTATAAAGCTTTGATATCAATGTTACGTAACAGAATGAAATTACGATGCTTTTTATTCTCTCATCCCGTCTGTGATATGGTACAATGCTGTTTTTCCGTATGTTTTCAGTCTGAATCCACAGAATTCAACAAGCTCTGGAACCCCAAGTTGTACATTGAGAACTCTCTCGGCGACCCAAAGGAACAAATCCGATATCGCCTACTATACAATGACAAAGGGGAGGCATTCGTTACAGAGAAGAGGGTCATTAAGGGAACATTCATGGAGAATTTGGAATTGGATGACTTCCCATTCGACGTTCAGGTACAAAGCATTCATTGTCATCAAGTTCCAGTCTTCTTACCTCTTGTTTCTATTTTTAAAAACTTCTTCTCATCACAGTTGTGGAATCTTTCCTCCCACTACAAAGAGTATTTTTGTACATTCCATGATGAGTCTTACCCCAACACCTATTTAGAATTCCTGACATTTCCTGTTCATCTTAAAAGTTTTGATCTATTTTCTTCGGATTTAATTTGAAAGCGTGCAAGAGTTTGTTATTCCTAACCTGTTTATCTTTTCTGTTATATATCAGAGTAAACGGGCTTCGAAGTATATATTTGCAATAATTCTGTAGCAACTGTTTTTCTACATTAAATCAAAGTCCAATACTTGAAATAATTTGAAAATTGGCTGGAAATTCTAATTCTATGGTCGTTATAATTACCTTGTTAGTAAATAGAATCTATCTTTGGGTCGTATTTTGGCTGACGTTTTTCATACCAATTGTTTACACTAAATTTGACTTCGAAATATTCCATCTACCTTATTTATACTTAATGCTCACGGTGGGTTTGACCAGTCGACAGCGGATGCTTTCTCCTCCTAGGCACCTTATCCGGGGTCCGTGTTTTATGCCCTGTTTACAGATTTGCATTGTTTGTGGATTTGTTTTTAGATCGACTACTGGTTGTTATTTTCACTTTTCTTTTTAAAAAATGCATATTCGATGTTTTTGTGCCTTGTAATAACAAAATGAATATAAGATAATCAAACTAAAATATATCAACGAATTCGTGACACTACATGTTTTAATTAAGCCTAAAGTAAAATATACAGTCATAGGTATATCTTGTATCATTGGTTTTTTTTTTGTTGTCTACATCGACAAAACCATTTTTCCAGCACGAAAAAGAAATCATTGAACTTTAAAGCAAAATGAATTTTACAATACCTGAAGTTCGTTATTCATTTGAAAATGTCCAATTTAGAATTCTACAATCAAATACAAGAAAATGATAAGAATTGATTTTTAGTTTTATACCCACACGTTAAACAGAAACCTTAATGTATTTTTTATGTTCTTATCCTGCAGATGGATATTTTGCATAGTAAAATTACTCTGGGTAGTTCTCCAATTGCTACCTCAAGCAAACGTTATTAAGTTCTTTTATTTCTTCTTAAGAATTGTAAGCAAAAGGAACGGTATGTACACCGTATAATGCGTTTCTCTTTAAATTATTCCGAAATAACCATTCATTTTCCGAACTTAAACTAACTTTTTAAAAAGTACAGATCAATCTGTACAGCTGCAATAATCACATTTTATTCTCGAACACCTTGTGCGTTATTTTGCGAGATTATCACGATACAAAAATAAATTTGTCAATAATATGTCAAAATGAATCTATTGAATACTGTGGCGAATAGCGGACGTAGGCAAAGTTACGATTGATAACTGTAAGTAATGTCAAACAAAACACACCAAATTATGTAAATTATTACATAGAACGAGCACAATAAGCTGTAAATATTAATAAATAATGAAGTATATTTGGATGTAAGCTTAATTACTTTGAATTATATAATATAATTGATTTTCAATGGTTTATGACATTTAGTCATGTATGCAATGTACATGCACTTTGAGCAAAATCTGCAGTTTATGAAAAATTATTTAAAAAAAAACAATATGTAAATAAACACCCCCTATTCCCAAAAATGATCGACAAAAGAGATAGATAAAAATAAAACTAAAATAAATAAATAAATAAAATGACATGTTTTTACATAGAATACGTCTGGATGTTGAAAACCTGAACAGATTTTCCTCAAAGTTGCTAGGCATTTTGCCGGATTTTATAAAAGGTTTATGTTTGTCATTGGGGATGTACCAATTATGAACTCATACACAATATTTTTTGGTTTTATGATAGATTTCTTAGAGAAGGGTAGATCAGTTCCCAGACATCATCTCAACAAGAAATTTATTGATAAACAAGACAAAAGTTTTATGTCCTAGTGATGAAGCAAAACTCCGTGTGGAAAGATATCTACATATATTGCTTCCTTGGAAATGAGAAAACCGTCAGTCTAATTATTTTATTGCCCGGTGGTAAAACTGCCATTATTTATTCATCTGTGCCATTTACTGAAATACATTGCAATTATTTTCAGTAATTATGTAGCACGCAAATTGCAGATCTGGTTGGTCTTGCATTTATTAATTTCCCCGTGTCGCTTGAAGCTCATTTCGGACATTGACAAGGATTAATTTCAAAAGGATCCTTCATTTGGCCAGTCAGTCTGTCTGTCCTTCTGTTTGTATGGGTTGATCCTGAGTCATACATGAGAACATGTTCAGAAACCGATTAATATGAAGTACATACACCATCGCATAACCTTATTCGGAATATCTTTTTGAAAAGACACAATACTTAAAAAAGACGTGTTATAGTCACTTCTGAGGTCGACATATAGGTCAAAAATTCTCTGAAAGATATTACAATAATGCTATCACTTTCGCAAAGAATGAGAAATTGTTCAAGACATCGTAATGAAATTATTTTTCAATTATATTTTGAAATATTTAACATATTGAAATGCAAAAAGAAAACAGTACAGGTATATCTGAAATGTATTGCCAGCCAGAAGCAAATAAAATGCAAGATGTATAATTAATCTTTTAAATATGTTCGATAACTTGCTTAAAATAAAATAATATATCTATATGCTCGAATTAGAATACTGTTTAAATGTCAATATTATAATCAATAATACTACTGCCAGGCTACTAGATTGCAATACGTATGAATTGTACAGCCTTCTTGCAAAGAAAAAAATCATTTGTCGTGATAAATACAAAAATTGAAAAAAAAATTAAATGAAAAAAGTTTTAGATCTGTCAAAATCATCAGTGGAATGATGTTCTATTTCATCACAAAATCTTTTATGATGAGTTGACTTTTGGTATCTCAGAGTCAGTATATATAATGCTTCATAAAAATGCATCTTAAACATAATTTTAGTATTTTAGCCCTTCTATTAGCAATTCAATATAATGGAAGTAACAAAGAAAACTGAAAAAAAATATACAAGGCCCTGCAGCGACTTTTATATATATCGATGACTATGAATTTTTTTAGACGAACCAGTGAGCGACCTTTAATCTCATAGATCTCTCTCTCTCTCTCTCTCTCTCTCTCTCTCTCTCAGAATTGTTAGCATTCACATTGCATACAAAATCTGAAAATGGAACTGACTACAATCAGACTTTTGTGTCAGAGAGTGTTGATAATACTGTACGTGTTCCCCCTTACTATAAACCACCCCAACCTCAGTCACTATGAAGGTGGAAGGTGCTCAAGTTATTACGTCACATAAAGGTGCTGAAAGACATACAGATACATATGACGTCCCTAAAATATAAAATTTGTTTGATAATAAAGTTTCAAAAAGTGCTTGTGTTTTATTTTCATTTTAATGGAAAAATGATTATTTATTTATTTTTCCTCCAAAAACAAGGAAATAATGACATTAATTAATAAACTTTTACATAAAGAACAGGAACAAAAGGATAACAGTGATAAAGGTCTCTGCTAAATAGTAACTTACTAGTACTAGTATTTTTCAAAACCTAGATTGATCATACATCTATATGTTTGACAACTTGTATCATGAAGCTATCATAAATGACGATAGAAAAACACTGTGACATTTTAATAACTATATCTCATTTTCTGTCAGAAGTACCAGAAATTAATGAAAATGTTTATATTAATTGAACGTATCTAATATAATCGAATACTTGATTATCTTGGTTCGAATACTGGTTTATCTTGAATATGTTCGAATATGACTTATCTAAATATTGGACCAAAATTATAATCAATTCTACTTGATTGCAATACGTATGAATACAGCTTTCTTGTGAAGACGTTGTTTTTTCCTTCAAACAAAGTTATTTGTCATCATAACTACAAATATAATGAACGAGATGAATAAGTTGAAATTTTAGATCTGTCAAAATAAACAGTGCAATGATGTTATTTTTGATCATGAAATCTTAATGATGAGTTGACTATATTATTTGGTATCTCAGGAACATTAAGATAATGTAGATAAATAAATAATGCTTAATGAAAAGCATTTTACACATAATTTCAATATTTTTTACTCTTTCCTTAGCAATTTAGTATAATAGAAATAACAAAGAAAACTGAGTAAAGCGTACAAGGTCTGTAGTGCCTTTATATCAATAATTTTGAACTTGAACACTAGACCAGTTAGCGATCTTGAACCTCATACATGTAGATCTCCCTTTTTCTGAAATATTTCGCAAACACATGCAGAAACGAAATCTGTAGATAGAAATTTGTTCACATTTTTTTTTTTTACCAAAACTCTAATCTGTACGTATTTTCCCTAATTATTCTTTACATCTTCAGCCATTGTGGGGTTGAGTTTGGAAGCTGCTCAAGTTATAGCGACACATAAAAGTGCTGACAGACAGACTGATACACGAGTGGTCATTACCGTAGGACATTTGCATTTGATGTCCCTAATATAAAGAATTAAGGTTGATGATGAAAATATAAGTCCCCAAAAATAACATTTTATTGATTTTAATTTAACGAAGAAAAATGGAGGAAAGAGGAAATAATAACTTTATTATCCTCCAACAAAAAGCAAACAAAAACGAACAAAAAATCCCAAACAAACATACATATATCATAATGTTCATAAACTTGTCAATAACAGCATCATAAAAATAACAGCGAAGTGCTCTACTAAAAAGTTACACTTTCTATGTGTGTGTGTGTGTGTGTGTGTGTGTGTGTGTGTGTGTGTACCAATTGGTATTTTACCAAATTCAGATTGCATCTTGTACGTATACATGAATATTTGACAACTTGAATCATAAAGCTATCAGAAAATGTCGATAAACGATCAATATGAAAATTTTATAACTACAGTTGTCTAGTGTCAGTATACACTTGATATTTATAAAAGGCATAGAAAATAATCATACAGTTCTGCTGGGACCATGATCTGGTTAAGGACTTCGAATGCAGAGAGACTCTTCAGAAATCAATGTTTTTGATCTTACGTCATGGTGTAAGAATATGATCTGTTTATTTTTTGACGTGCATTTTTTAAAAAAAATCATTCCTTATTATGGAAGCCTTCTGGCTTCTCAGAAACTCTCCAAGACAACGTTCTTGGAAAGCGGTGAAACGAGAAACAAACCTTCTGGTCTTTGCGTTTGTGGATTCAATTTACATATTTTATTGATATTTGACAAGTAGAAGTTTTTATCCATAAATAGACACTATCGATTTGAACAAAAATGTTACCCATAGGACATTGTTACCTTAGGATGGTCCAGCCTCTTACATTCTGCCAAGATCATCTTTACTTTTATTTTACCATAACTGTTCATAGCCCCTTGATAACGTGAAGAATTTGACGTTGAAGAACGTGAAGAATTCGAAGGGTTTAATGATAATTTAGGTAACCAAGACTCATTTTGCCATAACAAAAACAAGTAACTGTTCTTGTTTCAAATTTTAACGTTTTGACTTTAAAAATTCTACGTACAGGTCATTGAAACAATCATACTTAGTCTAATATATTGATGTATAAAATGGATTAAGTAAAATACTTCTTTTTCTTTAACTGTATGTATGAGATTTCCTTGTGGTCCGACGTTTTTACTTATACATAAGTTACGGTAAAAAGGGTTCCTTGATATTTTTTTTATGTTGATTATTTTTTGGTAGGATTTAACCATCACTGTTGCCTCAGAACTGCCATCATATGAAGTGGAACTAATAGAAGATTTAGACGACCACCACGTGGTCAATAAGCAATCGTTTGTTGATGAACAAGAATGGCATTTATATATGCATACCGAGTGCTCTCGAAGGGACCTTGTGATTGACCAAGCGGACAATAGTGTCCGGCGCTCGGCTCTTTCCGTCAAATGTCGTGCTGCTCGAAGACCGGGCTATTTTGTATGGAATATATTTCTTGTCACAGTAAGTAACGTCTTTCATAATTAAATTTTCCAAATAATTTAACATTTTATCACTAGGATTGAAATATAATTTTTGTTTTTTATTTCTTTATTTGACCTACATCGGATATTTAAAGATAAACATAAAGGTTACTTTTGAAAGTACTTTTTACATAACTACATGTATCTGATGCAGTTGAAAGTTGAGTCGAAGAGCATCGCCTTTTGGAAGATAAGCCTCTATTTGATTGTCCCTTTCAATAAGATTTTAAAACAGAAAAAATCTAATTTACACAGTTATTGCATTCATGCATACTTGTATATAACATTTAGCTGAAAGTCAGACCATTGGTGGGTTCTCTTTAAAAAAAATTTAGCTCACTTGAGCAAAAGGCAAAGTTTTTCCCACAGAATTTTTGTTTATAGTTGTATGATGAGTTGATGACGGAATAAAACTTATTTAAAAGTCAATACCTATGGCATGTCAAATGTTGCAATATTCGATCATTTCCATTTGTATTGTATAATTTTCTATCTGTATTGTATAATTTTCCATTTGTATTGTAAAAGTTTCCATTTGTATTGTATAATTTTTCATTTGTATTCTATAATTTTTCATTTGTATTCTATAATTTTTCATTTGCATTGTAAAATTTTTATTTGTATTCTATATTTTTCATTTGTATTCAATAATTCTTCATTTGTATTGTATAATTTTTTATTTGTATTGTATAATTTTTTATTTGTATTGTATAATTTTTATTTGTATTGTATAATTTTCAATTTGTATTCTTTAATTTTTCATTTGTATTGTATAATTTTTATTTGTATTGTATAATTTTCCATTTGTATTGTATAATTTTCCATTTGTATTGTATAATTTCTCATTTGTATTGTAAAATAATAGAATACAAATGGAAATTTATACAATACAAATGGAAAATTATACAATACAAATGGAAAATTATACAATACAAATGGAAAATTATAGAATACGAATAAAAATTATACAATACAAATGAAAAATTATACAAAATAAATAAAAAATTATTGAATACAAATGGAAAGTTATACAATGCAAATAAAAATTATACAATACAAATGAAAAAATATACAATACAAATGAAATATTATAGAATACAAATAAAAATTTTACAATACAAATGAAAAATTATAGAATACAAATGGAAAATTATAGAATACAAATAAACATTATACAATACAAATGGAAAATTATAGAATATAAATGGAGAATTGTAGAATATAAATGGAGAATTATACAATACAAATGGAAAAGATCGAATATTGCAACGTTTGACATGCCATAAATACCTTATTCCCCACTTTTAATTAAAATTTTGACCATGAATTTTTAAAAAATATTTTCAGCTAGGCTAGCATGCATTTCAAAGTGACGAACGTTTTTAATCAAAATTTATAGTTGCATATAAAGTGACGCCCGACTTAGTAAGTTTATTGGAAAGCAAATGATTATTTAAGTGGATATCTGTCTCATTCATGGGGAAAAGCTACAAAACTTGAACCTGATTATTAAAAGAAACACGGGTTCCCCTGTCATCCACAATGGAAATAAATACTTATAAGGAACATTGCGATATCTAGCCTTGTATAGAAAATACAAGGAATTGAGATTCAAGTAGCAGCTTAACAAGATATATATTGAATAACCAAAGAGTATCGATCCATTGCTTTGCAGCATTCATTTTTGAGCAAAGAAAAAGTAAGATTTTTATTAAAAATCCATGATCCCTTATTCCCTGTTCCATGCTGTTATCAAAAAGAAATTCAAATATTTACATATAAATGTATTTTAAGAAGCCCTTGTCTCAAAAACAATTTGTACAGAATACAATTTATCAAATTAAATGTCCGTGCATCCTGATTTTGTGAATATTCATATTCTTCAAATCAACCAATTACCTTAAGATCGGGTTTGAACCATAATTAGAACAAAGTTTATCAGAAAGATTCAATAAAAACAACTTTTTATCAAGCACAAGATGAAATCATTGTCAAATGAATTGCAAAAAATGTAAATATCATTGGATTTTGTATAGTATTTTTTGCAATTGTTTATTTCTTAGGTAAAGAAGATACAGGTAATTGGTATGACCAATGATCTGTTACTATTTTTGTACATCTTTTTTCCTCACTTAATCTAAATGACACATCAGTTTTTAGTGTACTTTCTTCTTATTTCAGTTTTTAATATGTACCTTAGCTTTTGCTACGTTTTCGGTGAAGAAAACATTACCCCAAAATCGCCTCCAGTTGTCTTTCACTTTAGTTCTCACAGCAGTGGCTTTTAAATCAGTCGTCAATTCCAGTCTACCAAGGATATCCTATCTAACGTACATGGTGAGTGTCTGCAAGATTATCCAGTTTTCAATAATTCTCGTGAAGCAAGTGAACTCTTTCCTAATTTTGTTGTATGGCCTTCTATTTTCATTCCTTGGTGTGATGGATATTTTGCACTTTTTAAGTTACCAATACCTTGTAATTAGTGTTTGTCTAACTGACTTGATATCAACTTGGTTTTGCACAATTTAACTTTAAAAAAGTGATGGAGTTTAAAAAAGCTTCAGTTTAATAAAATGTTATTCCCATTTATTTACTCTATTTTTTTTATCAAAGACAGCTACACTAAAATTTATTAATATTGAACTGATTTGTAATATCACATGGACGTCATGTTGAAATGTAGAGATAACGAACAGTAATTGATCATGCTCAAAAGTTCATTCAAACTATGAGCAGAGCAAACATGGGCCTCTGAAAACAGAGGTGGGATCAAATGCTATGGAGGAGTGAGCATTCTTTGTGGATCGGTCATACCCACCGTGTGGCCCTTGTCATGATCAGGTGAACAGAAAAATCCGCTGACAATTCAGTGCGAAAATAATGGCCTAACAATTTCTATGAAATACATGTACATCAGTCAATTTAACAATAGATTCAATCAAACAAGGTCATTATTTGCGGAATGCTGACGCAAAACAACTTATTTGGCAGTAGCCTGTCTCATTTCAGAAATGAATATGCTCTTGCATATCGAATCAACTGGGAGACATAAACCGTATATGACAGGTGATAATGGTATAATGTTATTAAATAATGAATATCTCTTTAATGAAATAATAGAAAAGCTGAAGTTATCACGTTTATCATCAAGTTTAGTTGTCACTTGGTTTTTTGTAGTTACAATGTAACCTTCAATATCTTTCTCTTGTAAAACATCTAAATATGAAATAGATGTGTGAGACTCTGTAATGTCTTTTATTTCGCGTTCAGTGGGATATATCCAATCAGTGTAGGCATGAAAATAAATAATGTTAATTGATAAAACGTGGTATATATATCTGAATGCCGAATTGAAGGCCAAAGCAAGACACTTCTTCTTTTCATGTAGAAGTTTTAAAATAAATTTTGCTTTAAAAAAATACAAAAGCAAGACTGCTAATAACGGGGCACAATTAGTACCCATAGAAATTCCAACAAATTGTTGGAAGACCTGGTCTCCGAAAACCACAAAGATATTGTTATTGTGAATTTCAAGTCCTGTGTAGAATCAAAATGTTTTTTTACAAAAAAGTTTGCTGATGACCAATAATAAGGTACATGTATGCAGATTTAGATGTTTCATTTTTATTGAAGCCAATAGCTTATGATGTCAAAAAGTCTGTAGTCCTTTTCATAAACAAAATCTTACAACTCTGATTATATATTGATAACTCCGTATTTTCGTTATTTAATATAGATATTTTTAAAGGATTGTTCAGAATATATTGTAATATAATAGAAATACAATCCTTTATGACCAACTAATATAAGGGGTGCTAAGAAAGTTCATTCCATATTTTTCTTTCATTTTCGAAAAGAAATACTAGTAATATGAGAAGATATTTAAAATTTGTGATCTTGTTCACAGAGTCCATTCTTGCTACTGATAAGGTTTTTACAGTGTTTTGTTGAAACGGAAAGGGAAGGCAGGTATTGAAACAGGTAATGCATGTGCAGAAAAAATAATCAGGGATTCAGCATATTTGTGAAATATCTTAAGCACATAGGTCAATATATCCTTTCAAATATCTACGAAAATTGATCAAGTCAGTGTAGAATTCCAATATAACAAACATATTCTTTAGAAAAGTGACCAATTTTTCTTTTACTTAAGCTCATAAGTTGTGAAGAAATAAAAGTAATTCTACATTTTCACAAAAAAATCGAAAGCACAATCTTGTGCTTTTGTCAGACTGGAAAATTAATCTCTTCAGGTAAACACTACTCTGAAATATTCAAAAATATTTCATTATGGAACGAAATTTCTTAACACCCTTTATTTAAAATTGACATACGGTTTTGAAGAATTTCATCCTAAGAAAAGGAACTTTAAGTATAACCTGTATTTCAACATATGATCCAAATTCCTCTAAAATGCGGTGCAATAATGAACCTTACAATTAAAGACTTTGTTGTTACCTTGTTATCTACTGCCTTGTTACCTACTATTTAAGTTTTAAACAATTGTTTCAGAAAATAGTGAAAGTAAATTCTTCGAAATGACTCATGCTAGAAATATCTGAATATTCATGTTGAATGACATAGCATGTAATAAAATTTTAAATAATTTATTTTTATTCTAACCTTCCTGATATTTTTTCAGACATCTGTCCTATGTGTATGCTTTGAATATGATAGAAATAACACAGTCGTGCCGAATAGGTCAAACTCGTACCTAAGTAGTAGAGAGCTCGAAGGTTCTATGATGTAAAGCTTAAATATTGGCATGGGACATTTTATGTATAATATATTTGTTTCAGTGGCGATCAATTTGTTATTCAGAATTTGTCCTCATACAAAACTTCAATCACAGCCATTCTAATTTGCTCCGCTACAAGGTTTATGGAATTACAGAAAACGAAGAAGTTGATTTGATCAAAGGTTGAAGATCTCAAGAGCCTCAGAAATCCTTTCTTTTGCATTATCGAAAATAATCTAGGCATCACAGCGCTAGTAAGGAATGAAAAAAACGTCCAAATAGAACTTGTACTGCAATAAATGACAATAATTGAAATCCACGTAGCTATTGATCCATAATTTGTTCGTGTTTTATTGGAACTTCAATATTTTTTGTTACTGCTTGTACATGTACATAGAACAATTTTAGCCACCAAGTATATTGTTAGAAATATTATGACCAAGATTTGATATTGTGTAAGATATTCATTTTCAATTTCCATTACTTGTTTATGTTACCAATTTTATATATATATATATATATATATATATATATATATATATATATATATATATATATATATATATATATGTCTATCTATCTCAATTGCTTTGAATGCTCGTCTATAAACCTATAACAAATTTTATGTAAGATGAGCATTTATAGATTTCTGATGATTGTTCGATTAAATGTTATGTATTTACTAAAGTCAACGTTTTTGATATCGTTGAAAAGATATAAAGGAAGATATTTTGATGTCACTTTGTAATTTCCGGTAAAGGGTAAATTTTTTTAAAATAAAAAAAAAATTATCTGAATTTGGAATTTTTCAAACTCCCTTCTTTGTGTTTTTGTTCACATAATGCTTTGAATTTTTGTCCAAATCATTTTTTTTGTTTTTGTACATATAATGAATATACGAATTACATCTCTAAATATTAATTATGTGAATCTGTTTCCAGGATAAATACCTGCTAGCAGCAATGATAATGCTGTCAGCAGTGTGTGTGTGGCATGCATTGGTCACTGTTGTCCAAGAAACCATCGCTGACCGGGCGGAAACAATTGTTCTCATCGTACTTGGAATCATCTATGTCATCTACAACGTCGGTTTCCTCATTATTATTTACCTCTATGTAAGTATTTGAAATATTTTTGTTCATTATTGCCTCTACTGTTCAGAGACCAGAAAAGCTTATGCGATACTAAGGTGTCCGATCATCCGTCCATCTATTTGTAGTAGTTTTTCAAAATTTTACTCCTACATATTTACATACGATTTCAGTAAAACTTGATACACAAGTAGACTACTCTAAAATATATAATTCTTTTTATCGATTTTTGATTTCGATCAATAGCGTTGCCATGGTTACTAAAAGTAGACTTTTTGTGGAATAATTTCAAAACTTTACTCCTCCCATACTTTTGGTCAGATTTCAACAAATCTTTCTACAGAAGACTATGCAAAGATACATAATTTTTTATATAGTTTTTTTGATTTGGATGAACAGTGTTGCCATCGTTACTGAAAAAAAGAAATTTCTGTGATATTCTTTCAAAATGTTATCTCCGACAGTTTTGGTCTGATTTCAATAAAACAATCTACACAGATAGATAGATAAAGATACATAATTCTCTATATCGGTTTTTGAATTGAATGAATACTTTTAAAATGGTAGCTAAAATTAGAAGTTTCTGTGAATTTTTTTTCTAAATGTCACACCTACAGTTTTGGTCTAATTTCATTAACACTTTCTACACAAGTACACAACACTGAGATACATAAATCTATTAATCTGTTTTAGATTTGAATGAACAATGTTGCCATGGTTGCTAAAAATAGAAATGTCTGTGAATTTCTTTTTTACTCCTACAGTTTTAGTCTGATTTCAATAAAATTTTTACACAACCATACTGAAATTTAATAATTCTCTTCAAAGATTCTTTTTTTGATGAACGATGTTGCCACAGTTACTCTACATAGAAATTTGCAAAATTCTTTCATAGGGCTATCCCTTCTACAGTTTTAATAGGTTTACAATAAAAATTTTCAAAGATTGTCAAACAGAGACTAAATCAAGGATCATTATTCTATATATTGCTGTTACATGTATATTATAGTTTCTAGTTCTTCAAACCACCTTTCTCTTGTTATAAGTACAAACTAGTAGAGCAACAGTCTCGTCAAAGACTTCTTGTTTGTTTTTTTCCCAAATATTGCTCATATTGTATAAGATGAAATACTGTTTGTCCAGCTGACCAAAGAAGATTCAATTCTTTACAATTCAGTTCTGATGGTGAAGTTGAATCGTATAGATGTATCATGATGTTTTTTTTTAAAAAAGTGGATGGGGACTAAAGTACTACATTACTCTACAAGACTTTTGAAAATGTCGTGCTGGATAGTGAATGCTCAGAAAGTTTTGCTGCATTTTAAAACACTTTACTTGAGTGGATCTCATTTCTCTTGAAGTAATTTTGTCGTTTCTATATGTTAATAAAACTTTATATTCAAAATTAATCTCTCTGTAGCCATGGAAGAAAAGAAGAACGATGGCTCAAAAGGACAGAGATTACACTGTACGTATATAAGACAGAAATTACTCTGTATATACAAGACAGAGACTACAATAATATTAACCAAAAGACAAAGAAAATACTATATGTATGTTAACCAACAGACGAAGATTACACTGTATATATCAATCTAAAGGTAGATATTACATTGCACGTATATACATAAACCAAAAGTCGAGATTACATTGAACGTATATCAACCAAATGATATAATCATACATGGAAAAGCACATTGAATTCCCTGTTAAATAACTGTATTGTTCTGCACGTCACTTAAGAATAAAGGTAACTGCTGATTAAATTAAAATACATATCAGGACGAAATATAAGATTTTATTAACAACACTACAAATTTACATTTAAACCTTCAAAACGTCTAATAAAAAATGAAAATAGAATTCATTACAATCCCATAATAATACTATTGCCTTTGAAATTGTTGAAAAGAAAAGTTAATATGTTCTTCTAGGTACACTGTGCAGTACAAGTAAGTAGTATATCACCATCTTTCAAACCACATATTTACGGAGAAGTTTAAGATAATCTAAGGTTCAATAACAAAATATTCTAAACAACACTCTATTTTAGGAAAATATCCGTCACTTTAAAAAAAAATCCAACAAAAGCAAGAAAATGCATTACATCTTTAAACTATTTAACATGTACACCCAACAATGTAATTTTTACTACATATTTCTTGATCCTATACTTAAGGTTGCAAAATAAATTGCTGATAGGTACTTTATAATGATATTCCCTAATTTTATCATTTCTCCTAAAAGCATTCTGCGTCAATGCTAGAAAAATCCTATTCGTATAGAGGACGAAGGAAATTATCATCACTTCTGAAACAAGCAGGTATATCTGGGTATCTCATCACTTAATTCACCTAACAGTGTATTAATCACTTCTTCGCTATGCACACCTATGAACAGATATTTATATGAGGATATTCTATTTCTCTACACATCTATAACAAGATATTTACAGTTTTCTTTCACAATACACAAAGCCGGTGTTCACAACATAAATGTAAACCTATAAGCACGTGGACGTTCACATTATACATATATATGCACAACCTGATATCGTATCTACTTAAAGCAAGATGTGTTTGTAAACACTGATGCCCCCGTATGGCAAATTATAGCAAAGGTTAAACTTTCTCAAATGCAAATCAAATACTAGTATGTTGGTACCCAAAGTATTAAGGTCTTGTATCAAGGAATATACCTGTGAAATTTGAAAACACTAGCAGCAACCATTGAAAAGATATGAAAAAGGTTAAAGTTTTTCAAAAGTAAGTCAAACATCAAGGTCAAGGTCAAATGGTCAAAATGAATGGTGCCTAAGGAAAAGCCTTCTCACAAGAAATACACATATGCAATATGAAAACTCATTCAAAAGTTATGGCCAAGGTTAAAGTTTTCCTAGGTCAAGGTGAAACGGTCAAAGTTGGTGGTGTCCAAAGGAAGGTTTTTTCACAAGGATTTCACGTATGGAGTATGAAAGTCCTAGTACCAACTGTTCAAAAGATATGGCCAAGGTTAAAGTTGGATAAAATTTAAAAAAAACTGGGTCAAACTCCAAGATAAAAAATAATGGTACTTAAAGAAAGGCCTTGTCACAAGGAATACACAAATGAAATATGAAAGCCATGGCTCAAAGCAATCAAAAGTTATGGGCAAGGTTAAAGTTTTCAAAAAGTAGGTCAAACTCCAAGGTCAAGGTCAAAGTTGTTGGTATCCAAAGAAAGGTCTTGTCACAAGAATTACATATGTGAAGTATGAAAGCCCAAGCACTAACTGTTCAAAAGTTATGGCCAAGATTAAAGTAGGGTAAAATTTTGCAAAACTGGGTCAAATTCCATGGTCAAGATCAAAAGGTCAAATTTGATGGTACCCAAAGAAAGGTCTTATCACAAGGAATACACATGTGAAAGCCATAGCTCTACCCAATCAAAAGTTAAGAGCAAGGTTAAAGTTTTTGCGGACAAACAGACAGATAGACAGACGGACGGACAGGGCAAAATCTATATGCCCCCGAATCTTCGGTTACGGGGGCATAAAAAAGGAGAAAAGACATGTAAACTTACTATAGTCTTTCTATGGTCAAAATTTTGGTAGATGTCTCAGAATTTATTTTGAATTACAGGAAGGACTACGTCTTGTGAAGAGCAAGTTGTAACACGGGAAGGCGACACCGGATGTGGCCTTTCTGATGTGATCAGTTCTGACGAGCCGTCTGTTGTCGACTTACACACAGTCACGGTGGGCATGCAGAATGACCATGAGAGTGACAGAGAAAACCAAAAACTGAAATCCAAAGAAATCCGAAAAAAATGTACACCCCAGGTGTGACTTTTGTAAGGAACGAATGATCAGCACATGTCAGTGTTCATTCCATTCGTCTTTAGTTCATTGTTTAATTGTTGTTTTAAAAAAGGTGTTATGCAAATCATAGACATCAAACTTGATGTTTTAATGACGATTTACAGGTGCAAGTGATTTTTTGTTAAATCAGAGAATTTTACCTCCCATATAATGGCATGTGTAGATATGACGGGGAGATTTTGAGAAAGTTTACCTGTTAATACCTAATAAATGAATACTATACTTATATGCCTTGTTTTTTATATCAGTTACGGTAAAACTCTCGTATACATGTAATTTTTTGTTATTGCAAGTTTTGCATTCGACACGAGCTTTAATGTTGAAGATATCTCGAAATAAAAACATTCAAGAAACCGTTTGATAACTTTTTTTCATCAGACGATTAAATGCTCGGCTCAGGCACAGATACATCTTACATGTATTTGCAAAACGAAAGAGAACAAAGGCTATTTGACATGTCAAGCGTTGCAATATTCGATCTTTTCCATTTGAATTGTATGTTTTTATTTTCTATTGTATATTTCACCAGTTATACTTTATTATTAATCTTTTTATTTGTACTTTAAATTGTCAAGTTGTTTTATTTATTATGTTTTTATGCTCCCGTATCGAAGAGTAGGGGGTATATAGTTTTTCCCCTGTCCGTCCGTTGTCTGTATGTTTGTTTGTCCGCAAAAACTTTAACTTTGCCCATAACTTTTGATTGGTTGGAGCTATGGCTTTCATATTTCACATGTGTATTCCTTGTGACAAGACCTTTCTTTGGGTACCACCATTTTGACCTTGACCTTGGAGTTTGATCCAGTTTTTGTAAAATTTTACCAAACTTTAACCTTGGCCATAACTTTTGAACAATTGGTGCTAGGGCTTTCATACTTCACATGCGTAATCCTTTTGACAAGTCCTTCCTTTGGATAATAATCGAAATAAATCGACCGAAAACAAGCGTAATTTGAATGCTATGAGTAAAATATATAAGAAAACAATGGATGAGAGCATAAAAAATAATAGAAAGAATATTGCCAAAAAACTCAAAGATTTGCATTCTACAAATCCCAAAGATTATTGGAAAATTTTGAATGCATCCGATAAAAATAAGAAATGTGCTGTTGATATAAATGACATGTATAATTTTTTGAAAGATATGAATGAAGATAAAAATTGTAATGTTGTTCCTGATAACTTAGATGAACAGGAAGATGTAGCGAATTTTTCAAATGATTTCAGTTGATATCCTAAACTGTGCTATCAGTGATGAAGAAATACTGAACAGTGTCAAAAAGCTTAAAAATAACAAAGCATGTGGTTTTGACAAAGTGTTTAATGAACATATTACTTCAACAATTACTATATTTTTACCCGTATATAGAAAACTGTTCAATTTAATATTTGATTCAGGTACCGTCCCGGATGAATGGTTAATTGGCATTGTTAAACCTATTTATAAAAATAAAGGTGATCCAACACAACCAGAAAATTATCGACCCATAACATTATTGAGCTGCTTAGGAAAATTATTTACAAGTATTTTATGCACACGTTTGGAAACATTTGCTGAAGAAGTAAATTTAATTAATGAGAGTCAAACAGGGTTTAGAAAAGGGTACTCAACTTTAGATCATATAGTTACCTTACAGTTTTTATGTCAGATTTTTTTTCAAAGAAAGAAAAAACTTTTCTGCGCTTTCATTGACTTTAAACAAGCCTTTGATACGGTTTGGAGATCTGGATTGTGGCATAAGCTATTTAAGAGTGGGGTTAGTGGAAAATGTTTTAACTACATCAAAAATATGTATATAGGAATTAAATCTATGATAAATCTGAATGGCACAATCACAGATTATTTTAACTGTAATGTTGGTGTTCGCCAAGGTGAAAATCTATCGCCTTTTTTATTTTCCTTATATATTAATGACCTGGAAGAGTTTCTCTCGGACAGAAATATTATTGGTTTACAAAGCATAACTGACGCTATTGAAGAAGAATTATATGTGTATCTTAAGCTTTTCATTTTGTTATATGCAGACGATACTGTTATCTTGGCTGAAACAGATGTAGATCTGCAAAAGGCTTTGGATGATTTTTATTTGTATTGTTCACAATGGAAACTTAATGTTAATGTTAGTAAGACAGAAATTCTAGTGTTTTCTAAAGGACCAATGTCAAAAAAGGTATTTTATTATAATAATAATGCAATTGAAAATGTAAAAGAATTCAAGTATCTTGGGATAATATTTTCACGCTCAGGTTCATTTTGTAAGGCCAAAAAACATTTATGTGAACAAGCACAGAAAGCAATGTATGGTGTTATAAGGAAGATAAGACAATTTAACTTACCAATTGAATGTCAGTTAGATCTTTTTGATAAAGTTGTTGTTCCAATTTTGACTTATGGCTGTGAAATTTGGGGTTATGAAAATCTCGACATCATTGAACGTGTACATTTAAAATTTTTAAAACATATTTTCCATTTAAAGAGTAGTACGCCCTCGTATATGGTGTATGGGGAGACTGGGCGATTCCCATTGTATATTAATATTTATACAAGAATGATCTCCTACTGGTTAAAATTACTTACCCCGAATTCTTTAGAAAACAAAATAGTTTGTGTTTTGTATAAATATCTATGTTCTCAATATTTTCAAGGAGGTCCAAAAAACCTATGGGTAGATTTCATTTATAAAATTTTAACCTCTTGTGGGTTCTCCAACATTTGGTATGAACAAAGTCCCATTGACAGGAATTGGGTACTTGCAGCAGTGAAGCAAAGATTAAGCGACCAATTTATTCAAAAATGGCATAGTGATATAAATAATTCATCAAAAGGTCAAATTTACAAAATTTTTAAGAGTGATTTTGGATTTGAAAAATATCTAAGTATTTTACCTAGTAAACTCCAAAAAATACTAATAAAATTTAGAACTTCAAACCACCACCTCCCAATTGAAACTGGTAGATGGTTAAATATTCCACTGGATGAAAGAGTTTGTAAATTGTGTAATACAGGGCAAATAGCAGACGAATATCATTTCATCCTAGAATGTAAAACATTGAACAGCATCAGAAAGAATCTTTTACATCCCAGATTTTGTAAAACGCCGAATACACTTAAGTTTTCTGAAATTATGTCAACGACAAACTTAAAAACTTTAAAAAACCTTTGTATATTTATATCTAAAATAAACGACACCGTCTGTCCTCCATAATTTAAATGTTATCATACCATTTTTTTTTCTTCTTTTCTTCTTTCATTGTATGTTTATTGCTATACTATGTACATATGTATATGCCCCTCATTTATTGTATCATAATTATATTTATTATTTTTGTCACAATTATGACGACTAATTTATTGTACCTCATGTACCACTGATGTTGGTGTGAGTGAATAAAATGAAAATGAAATGGATACCAACAACTTTGACCTCGACCTAGGAGACCTACTTTTGGAAAACTTTAACCTTGACTATAACTTTTGAACGGTTGATGCTAGGGCTATCATACTTCACGTATGTAATCCTTGTGACAAGACCTTTCTTTGGATACCAACAACTGTGACCCTTTAACCTTGGAGTTTAACCTACTTTTGGAAAAACCTTTAACCTTGGCCATCATTTTGAAGAATTGGTGCTAGGGCTTTCATATTTCACATGTGTAATCCTTGTGACAAGACCTTCCTTTGAAACCAACAACTTTGACCTTTGACCTTGGAGTTCGACCTACTTTTGGAAAACTTTAACCTTGGCCATAACTTTTGAACGGTTGGTGCTATGGCTTTTATACTTCACATATGTAATCCTTGTGACAAGACCTTTCTTTGGATACCAACAACTTTGACCCTTTGACCTTGGAGTTTGACATACTTTTGAAGAAAAAAAAACTTTAACCTTTTCCATATATATTCAATGGTTGCTGCTAAGGCTTTCATATTTCACAGGTTTATTCCTCAAGACAAGACCTTACTTTGGGTATCAACATATTTGATTTGCATTTGAGAAAGTTTAACCTTTGCTATAAGTTCCCATAAGTTATTTACATATATATATATAATATATAATATATATATATATATATATATATATATATATATATATATATATATATGTATATATATATATATATATATATATATATATATATATATATATATATATATATATATATATAGACTGCGTAACAATTAAAATTTTAGACCACGATGGAAAATTACACAAATGAAAATTATACGAAACAAATAGACAATTGCAGAATAGAAATAAGAAACATATATACAATATATTAATTTAATATACACAAAATGTGAAATATTGCAACGTTTGCCATAACATGTTTCAAAGAAGGTTTAAAATCATTCACCGTCGTACATCCCTTAGAGAGAAATTATATATTTTTGTCAATTAATATTAACAGATTGAAAAATCAATTTGATTGAAACTCATACTTGTCAATATAAAAATCATAAAAGCTTATATCAGTCTTTCAATGATGAAATGATGAATACGTTGTTGCAATCATGTAACTTAAACAAAAGAGATACTTTAAGATCCATTCAATAATTTTTTTTTATTTAACCTCCGTATATACAAGTGCGCTATGGATATTTTCTGTACACATAAAAAAATTATTTGGTCAAACTTCCTAATTTTGGAGGATTTACTAAACACATGAAACTGAGGGATGTACAAACTTCAAGCTACATTGTTAGCGTTACTAGTACCGAAGCGCAGTAACTCGAATTGATTCTTTCTCCTAAAAAATGGTGTCGACAGTAACTGATTAATATACATGTAATTCCAGAATTAAAAGTCCGTTTTCAGAATATATGTCGTTTACTTTACAGACGGAACAAATAAATCAATCACCCGTCCATATGAAGGGAATTAAGAAAATAAATGACAAATTTAACTGATACAGGGGCATCCCCGTGACCCAAAAAGAAAATCAAATCCTAGGAGAAAGATTGTAGCACAATAGGAATCGCACTTCAACATAGCTTAACAGTAAGGAAAAAGGCCGTGTGGTCTTGACCTTGAAGTTTGATCTACTTTTCAAAGATTTTAATATTTCTTCTAACTTTTGAATGAAAGATGGGACATTTATATTTGGCATGTGCATTACCTATGACAAGACGTTTCCAGTTTCCATACTCTACATCATACATGTTCCTCTGGGGAACTGCTGGGTCGAAAAATGTCGATGAAATTAAAATGTCACCGTCGTCTGTAGAAGTTTAAATTCAATTTTGCTCTAGTCTCAGAGCAAGATTAAGCCTTGTCAGAAATTCTAATGTCTAAAATTTGTAAGATTAATCAGGAAGCATCTTCAAATTGTATAGATTCCAGTTTGTTAATATTGCTATGTGCATTAATTGTGCCACTTAAAGGAATCACAGTTTTTCAAGTAAAATTTCACAATACACGTAGAGGATCTTATACAAAGTACTAGTATAAAGTAAAAATTTAGCTTTTACATGTAACAGGTACTTCAATGTTGTGTAGTATTTGTCAGTAAATATGGCCTGTTGGAATGCATGAGGACATGGGGATAAATAATGAAGTGATAATCAATTATGTTAAGAAAAGGCAAGACCATACGAACCTTGACGGTCTCCTGAGTTTCTCAGACCATGGTCAACTCAGTTCATCAGGAACTGGAACTTTGATTCGCGTAAAATCAAACAATTTGATGATGAATCTAAATATGTTTATTATCATATGCATGTAGGTTGTCTCCTAGATGTTAAGAAGTTAAACTAACTTCACAATTAGGCCATCTCTAAAAAGTTGTTTGCCCTCTTCCGACCGAATGACTGAAAAAGCCCGACTCAAAACTTTTTTAACCTCCGGGAAACAATTATTTTTTTTAAATTCATTCCAAAGGTTTCTCTCCCACTAATAAGTATGTTAACTTCACATTTGCAAGTGTTTTAAAATAAGAAAAACATTTTCCGCTACCTACCGACCCAATTTTTTTTAATCCTGAGTCGGGAGAGGGCAAGCAAACATTTTTTTTAAAAGATGGCCTTAAATAAATGACCCATAGCTCAAAGCCACCATGCATACAGATTGCTTTCATCATGTTCAGGAAAAAACAAGATTCTCAAAAATAAATTTCGAGATCGGGAGGCCCGGGTTCGATTCTCGTTCGCCGCGCCGCGTCAAATGTAAATATAGAAAGCGACTGTTCCTTCGCCAAACTCCCGGCACTAGAAGTGAAGGTCAAGGGTTTTTCGGATGAGACTTTTAAAACCGAGGTCCCATGTCACGTTAGGCGTTGGCACGATAAAGAACCCTCCCTGCTCAATGGCCCTGAGTGATGAGTATAGGTCTAAATTTGAAGCCCTTCACTGGTATATGTTGACGTCTCTGTATGAGTAAAAAATTCTCGAATGGGACGTAAAACAACATACATTCAATCAATCAAAAATAAACTTTATGATAATTATAATCTGACAAACTTAGTCCACACTGTGGCTTGAACCCTGGACCTATGGGAGGAACATGAATTTCAGAATTTTTGGCAGATGGTTAACACCTCATTATAATCATGCAAACCGTTTGCCTGCTAATGATATCCATGAGTGCACGAGGACTTTTTAAGATTGCATTAATTATACCCCCGCTTGAAAAGTGGGGGTGTATAGTGATGTGGGTGTCCGCCCGTCCGTCGTGCTGTACGTCCGTCCGTCCGTTACGCTTTGGGGTGGATATCTCTTATCCCCAACTCCTCTTGTAACACTGAATAAAATTGAACGAGACTTTCGCAGAATCTTTGTTACATAGTGCCATTGTGCACCTTCTATTTTACTTTTTGATCGGACACGTTATTCGGGTTTCCAATAGCAAAACATAGACACTGCCATTCTTTCTATAATTTTGAGGGGTATCCATCTCTTATCCGCAACTCCTCCTATACCACTGAATAAAATTTAATGATACGTTCACAAAATCTTTATTAAATAGTGCCATTGTGCATCTCCTATTTTACCTTTTGATCGGACAATTATTTTGGATCTCTCGTAGCAAAACATGGACTTTGCCATAATAAACATATGGGAAGCGGGGGTATCATTCTGTGAGCTCAGTGCTCAGAGTACCTATAGTTTTGATAGTTTTAGGGTCAGGTCTTAGGCTCCAGGGGAGGCTAGGATCGTATAATTCACAAATTTTGTTTCTCTTCATCCATAGATGTTAATCAAGCTTCATGTAGGTTCAGCTAATTCAGATAAAAAGCTGAAAATGTTCAAAGTGAACGAACGACGCACCATGGAAAACCACATATGGGAACCTAGCTTTGACAAAAGTCATCTAAGCAACTTAGGTGACCTAAAATACGGATTGTCTAGACAAAGTTGCTGACAGTTTTATATTTTGCGAGAACCTTATAAGCTCCTAGATGTCTTGGTAAACCCCATTTTAAGGTTTATATAATGGTTATTGAACTGTGGTATATCATGAGTTATTCGAACGAAGGGGTGATGACGATCGAGTGCGAAACACTTGAGATACACGGCAATAAAAATACAATAACTGTCTTGTTTTACGGTACAATAACAAAAATAATCAATTTCAGTGACATGGCAAAAGATCATTCCTATTCTGATGTCATCACGTACTTTTTTTCGGATTGTCGGAAAAAATATCTTGTTTAAAGATGTATATACAGATGAATATTTTGATATGATTAACAACTAATTGACAAAACGTTAGAGTAATGCAAGCTGTAGAAAGTAAACTAACTAAGAAAACTATCGAAAAAATCGGCAGAGCATGTATGTATTCAGATGAAAGCTTATTTTATCATTATTTTTTCGATATCTTACTACATATAATATGAAATCATTTATTCCTTAAAACTTGAGCATCCGATCTGTTTTATTAGTACACGTATGTATTAACAATGTTTATGTCAGAGATACAAACGTTTCACGTAGAGCTAACCATACCAGGGTTTTGCCTAGTGACACATTAATATTCTTTATTACCTACCTGACACCTATCCACCTCTGGCCTCCACAGAACGTCTTCACCCATTTCTATTGACTTCCGCTGTTCTTTCTGCATTCCATGACCGCCATCCATCATCTGTCCTTTCCCTTTCAACTTTATCGCGTCATGTCGTACCCCGGTTTTGCCTAACGATATATTGATATTTTGTTTACTCTGAACTAAGATGAATAACAACCTTAGCAAAACCAATGGTGTTAAAATCAAGATGCTGTCAACAGTTCACTACTAAACAATCATCATATCAAGGTCACTGAATTCGAACAAAGTTTGTAGTGCATATATACAATCTCCTTTACAAGCCTTTTGAAGACTCAATTTTGTTTCTAGGAATATTTTCATCTACCATTAATAAATTTCGTGTTTTAAAAAAAAAAGGAAATCAATAACTTAGCATATTAAAGTTTTAAAAACTCTTGGATATTAGACATTTCAGCCTTTAAACTATCTGACAAATCACTACGTACGACTAGAAAGAAAACAAAAACAAAATATTCTGTGCATCAATTTTATAGCAAAGGCAACAAATATAAATGAAGCGTACATGTAATCACAAATTTACATATTCATAGCTGGAATAAAATTTTACTTTTTTTTTCTTTGTTCATACACTTGTACACAGCAGATTTTTAAACTAACGGTGATTTTGCTTGCTTGACTTGCCAATACAATACACATTTTTAGGCGGAAGGACAAATAAATGAAAATATATACATTTGTGGTATCTCTCTATTATATAAACATGCAGAGAGCAAATATCTTCATACCTGTATGAAGTTTTTCGAAGGTCATAGGTCATTACGTGACCTAATCACACAGCGCAGTAACATCTACATAAAAAGACTTACTCCACTAAGCAATATAGCATGTTTTTCATGCATAAAAATGTACAAAACACGCAAGTAAAATAATAATCATTTTATTTACAATGTAAACGAGTATTTAATACAGTTCTTGATCGATTTTACATAGAGAATAGAAAACTACGTGTTATAAGTTTCATGTCTAAGCTGCATAGTCTCAACGTTTACCCTTATTTTTCTCGCAGACCTCTGAATGCTATAATTTTTTTTTCATTAAACTTTACTCACAATAAATTTGAAAATCTGTTGAAAAATATCAATGTAATGCAATCACGCCACAAACAGCTGACAAACACTGCACTTTGGACGTTCGGTAGGCACACCTCCATAATCGAGATGACGTTGTCTTAACAATGTAAGGCCAAACAAAAAAATATGTGTGGTTCCGGTTACACCTCAAAAAAAAATTAGGGTAGGTAGGTAGGGTTTTTTTTTTCTTTTTTTGGTTTTGTTTTGTTTTGTTTTTGTTTTTTTTAACAAAATGATTTTCTTAATTTTTCTAAATAATACCTATCACTCCTTTGCAAGTGGCATTTAGATGTGGTATGATAATACACTAGTCAATATTGGTAGGGGACACCTACATGCTAGCTTGCTTTGGATTTAATACTATTAAACACTTACACTATGTTTTGCAAGGAAGCCGTCATTGCTGAAACTAAAACTTAAACCAGAGCCATTGATAGAAATCTGGGAAAATTCCGGAAAAAATATGAAAATTGCCAAAAAAAGTTTAGGGTCGGTGGTATAAAATAGGGACGGTCGGGTAACCGGAACCACACATATTTTTTTATTTGGCCTAAGCTGTCGCCAGTGTCTCCATGTCAACATCATAAATGAATAAATATGCCGTACTGAAATCGTAGATTTTATGTTTTTGATCAAATTTTGTACTTGATTTCAAGTTATCTGGTCCGAACAAGTGTCTCCATCCATCCCTTTCCGACCGAAATTCCTCCAACTTTTTATTATCAAACATCGGACGTGTTTCTTGTGTTTTTTAACATCGAATATCGGTTCTCATGAATACAAAAATTCCCAGACACCAATATGCTCACTATAATTGATCACAAGTAGCCTTTCACATAATATTCCCTTCAAAACAGAATCCTTTGCAAGAGGAATTTGAAGCGTAACCGCTTTTCAAGCCGATTTACACCTAGCGTAATTTGTCAAAATCTACGACGCACAGTTAGTGCAATATTTATATTCGATTACATTCGATTGTCCGTCTCAAATGTATATATAAGAAATGAATAACAAGTTTAAAAACTTCATTGGGAATTGAAGTGGGTCGGTACGTGATCAAATCTTCTGAGAAGGCCTTCGGCCGTCACAGGATTTGATCACGTGACCGACCCACTTCAATTCCCATTGAAGTTTTTAAACTTGTTATTCATTTCTTAAATGAAAGTGATGGTTAAAAAATCTTTTATAAAGCAATTACTTATGACATAAACTTATGTCTCCGAGACTACTGGGTATTATACCTAAAACCTATGCACATCTAGTTTGGGTTTTACTACTAAGTGACAAGGTATACAGTTACATGTATTTGAAAATGAATATTGAACAATTGGATACATATACTCTTGAGCGAGTTTGTTTTCATTTTTTCTAACTCATATTCCTTGCTGTTTTTAAGATACCTTAACCGACATATTTAGAAAAAGGTTCGAAGAACAATTAAATCATGATCTGGATACCACAATCTGGATTATCTTATTTAACTATTTCCAAACCGCTGTAAATTTCCCCAAAGCAAGTAGGCAGTACAGTTATTAACTGAAGAAAAAGAATCGATATCAATTAAACTTTGGTTAAATAAAATATCAAGTACTGTAATTTATACCCCCACTATTGGAACAAAGTGGGAGGAGAAAATGATGAGCCCCATCGGCCTAATTAGTTTAGTTACGGCATTGTAAAACATTTGGGATTAATAGATTCAAGAGTTAAATGGTCTATACCACATAATGACCTTCCTCAACATCAATATGTTCGTTTTTGTGAAAGAGGTCAATAGATTCATGTATGTTGTCCCATGTGAGGGACCAAAAATAGGAATCGACAAGGAGTAAATGCACTTTTATATCAAGCTTTTCAGAAAGGAAACTGACATTGTGTTCTTGGGTCAGTTTTCCGGCGGAAATTGCACATTGAAAACCATGTGCCAGCATGGTTGAACGTCCTTTCTTGGTACAGAGGGTGGTTTAATTATTTTAGAGTTATGGTTCTTCTTTTAAGTACAGCTTGAGAACCGCATCCTTCTCTGCAATAAAAAGTCATTACAAAAAACGTATTTGCAAAGAAATTCAATTCTTTCCCTGAAGCAATTGCAAGATATATATAAGAAGAATACATTAGAAAAATACATTTTAACTTTTGAACTTTTTTGTGAAAATTTTTGAAATTCTGCAAAAAAATTGAAGATGGCATTTGTGATCGCCGAGAAGAGCAGCATCTGTTTATTTTCATGTTTCACTAACAGAAAATCCACGTAGAAGAGGGTTAGACTAAGTCAATCTCAATTTTGGTTTTTAAAGACACAAACGAACATGACAAAAATTTCTGGTCGATATGCTCTATAAAACCATGACGGTATCGGTTCAGTTACCTTTGCATGTATTTATGTAATCCAAATAAGTACACATGTACTGTTAGGAAAAACTAATTACCGAGATGAGTAGATGACTGTAGCGAAATAATGGGTTGTCATCGATACTGACCCGTGGACGTAATGGCTAATGAGTTAACTCCAGAATTAATAGATTTTTTTTTATCCGGAATTGTTGCGATGTTGTTAAACAACTGTGTGCAGAAACAATGTTTTTACAGCGTGTTAACACTTGACTGATAAGGGCATGGTGAAACCGAACGGTCAATTTTGTGTGAACTGGGTGAATTAAAATATTATTTTCTCACATCCGTCTGTATATTGGAAGCTGTTTTTAGTGAAGGTATGTTTTATATTTCATTTTTTTAAAATTTATCGTTTGAATAACAAAACAGTGTTTGTTGGCACGACAATGACATTTATTCTAAAAGACCAAAATGTAATGATATTCAAAAAAAAAAAAAAAAAAAATAAAAAAAAAAATAAAAATAATAATAATGATATGTTCAGTTTTGTATATATATATATATATATATATATATATATATAAAACATTACTTCCTTATCTTAAAATATTAAATCTAAATTGAAAATGAAAATTAAAATAATGTTAATTTACTGTCTAATGTTGTTAAAATATCAATAATATAACATATTTTTACTTAGTATATGGCATATAAATTCCAGAATAACTCTCTAGTAAATGAATGTACACCTTTATACATATACCATAATGTTGTACATGTAGTTAAACAGACATCATATTTAAATTAATTGCAACGAAAATAACGTAACAACACAAATAGTTCTAATGGAATTAATCAATTTGTAAGGTTAATAAAGATGTCTTGTTTTTTCTTGTGCTATCAATGAAAAATACTTGAGAATCGGTGTTATACCAGTTATGTGAAAAAAATCTGGAGAAAAATCTTAACTCTTGTTTCCATGTGTGTACTGCTTCTATGGACACTTTCCTCCACTGCTATCAGGGATTGGTGTTTGAGTGATTTTTGTTTTACTTCAACAGCATAGGAGGAAACAATCTGAATTTGAAAAGAGCAAAATGCAAACAAAAAAAGTTTGCAGTTTATAAATGTTTGCCTTTGCTTGTCTAGAATAACGAAGGACTGCGTTAATTAATTCTTTTTTTCCAAACCATTTATTAAACTAATTGATACCCCTGCCCGCCTCTTTGACACGTTTTGGATTAGTTAAAGAAAACTGTACATAACTCGAGAAATATAGAGTTCGAGAAAAGGTTTTTAAATCGAACTTTTTAAATACAGTTTGGGTGTATTACTTTTTGAAATTTCTATAGCTATGGAAGTAAGAAATGAATTTTTGGTGTATGATTTTGTCCCACTTTTTCGGGATCCACCATGTCAAGTAGACATGCACTATAATGATTTTCCATTTCGACCTCAACCTTATGACCCAAAAGTTTAGTTTCTAAAGTCAAACATTTTGGTTGGTAGCAAAAAATACTTTTTTACGTATAACTTGAAAAGTCATGTAATGAATGTATGCAATGATGTTTTAACTATCTGATCCCCTCCCGAAAGGGGGGTGTATTTTGCTATAGAACATTGTTTGATATCAGAAGGAAGCAGTTTATGCTTCAGTCGATGCTTCAAATGCATAGTGTTACCTACATTTATCAGATAGACAGGTTTACATGTGCGTTTTTTTAGCATACCCACTTTTTCTTTTAAAAATTGCCCGGGCATGTGACTTGTATTTTTTGAATGAGTTATCGACTATAGTAACAATTTTTGGCATGTGTGCTGCATATGACATATATTTTTTTGTCATTGATCATTATTTTTTGGGCAGGCTAGTTTCAAAGTATCAAGTTTTGTTCGGAAAAAAAAGAACAAATGAAAGAAGTTGCAGTCGCACATTCAAAGTTATCCTGATTTACTGGAAAATAAACACTAGCGACTTTTATTGAAGGATTGAAGAATACATATTTCATGTAAAATTTGACTAACTTTATACAGTAGTAAAATGAAGTTTTATGCATTCAACAACAAATGAATTACTAAAAACAATTACAAGCAGAAAGAACTTGAAATAACCTGGCGAAGAAGACAGTGCCACTCTGAATATAATACATGTATTTACTTTCAATACCAATGTATAAGATTTAAATCTGGCATAATAGACTTACCTAACGTGTTGCTATTAATGTAAGAATAGTATGATTTTCCTAACTTGTTGACTATTCAGGAAAATAATATCAAGTAAGTAACATACGTCATATGACGTACGTTACTAAAACATTCTACGTCCTTTTAACCCCTCAAAATCAGTTGGAATGTACTAAAGTACTTAAAAATACTAATTTTGAAGGATTTTCAACCATCAAGTAACTTTAAAAAAAAAAAAAAATCAAAATTCAACAGATTCTTATTAGGACAACTGGTGCGCCAAGTTTTATGTCCTCAACTGAACTATTCACCAGCTGTTGTTAAAAAACAGCATTATACTTATTATCTGATATTAAAAGTTATTAGTAGAGTTTCTCGTTACATATTAAGCATGATCAGACAGGATGCATATGCCAGATTACTACTTTATATATATATATATATATATATATATATATATATATATATATATATATATATATATATATATATATATATATATATATATATATATATATATATATATATATATATATATTTACATTTGCAAATGTTTTCTTTTATATAACACTATTGAAAGCAACGCGTATCTATATCCGTATAAACACGGGTTCCTCGCGTCATAAAC